CTTGCGGCTAATAGCCACTGATGGACCTCTGCTCCATATTAAGAACATAAGAGAAGCCCGTGTTGGGTCAGGCCAATGGCCCATCCAGTCCAACACTCTGTGTCACAAAGTGGCCAAAAATACCAGGTGCCCACAGGAGGTCCAGCAGTGGGGCCAGGACACTAGAAGCCCCCCCACTGTTGCCCCCCCCAAGCACCAAGAAGACAGAACATCCCTTGCCCCAGACCGAGAGTTCCTATCTATACCTTGTGGCTAATAGCCACTGATGGACCTCTGCTCCATATTAAGAACATAAGAGAAGCCCGTGTTGGGTCAGGCCAATGGCCCATCCAGTCCAACACTCTGTGTCACGCAGTGGCCAAAAATACCAGGGGCCCACAGGAGGTCCAGCAGTGGGGCCAGGACACTAGACGTCCTCACACTGTTGACCCCCCCCCCCAAGCACCAAGAAGAAAGAGAATCAATGGCCCCAGAACATCCCTTTCCCCCATCCCCAATCAGGTTCTGAAACTCTCGGTCGTTTCGTTCAGCCTATTTTTCGGGATGCAGTTGCCCCTGCATGATAACCTGAAATGAGCCATCTCAGAATGAGCCCCCCCCCCCCCGGTGTCTTTTGTTATCTCAGATCTCATTTTGGAACAGTATTTAACCCAGATATTAATGTATCTGCGATTTGACCTTATTATCGATCCCTGGAGTGTCGATACTTCCGTGTCTTCCGCATTGTGTTCGCCCGCTAACCTTCACAACAGCAATCTTTCCCACTAAGTGCTGCCCTGGCATCTTGTCTGACATCATTCCTGTTGTCCTTTTATGCCGTGACCCATTTTGAAATGGCCAGCTCAGCCCAAGGCGGGGGGTGGGGAAGAGAACGAGGCCCGGTTTTCATCCAAACAAAGCCGTGTTCTAATTGGGCTTAGACAAAAAAAAAAACCCGCTGTCACCGGCCAAGCATCACTAAATAGAAAAGGTGTGTAATGTTTAGAAAGGATCTCAAGCTGGCCAAAGCCCTTGGGGGGGGGGGGGAGTGACTTTGATTTCATTCAACAGATTTTTGACAGGTGGCCTCTCTGAAATAGCTTTTTTTTTTGCTGATGACATCATTGGAAGTTAGAATTTGTAGAGCAGAAGTGAACCTGGTCAAAGTGAAAGTCACATAATATATGCAGCTACAACCTGGATGTAGGAAAGATGGCTGTCACGTAGATAAGGAAGACGTCAAGAGATCATTAGAACCTCAGCAGAGCCCTGCTGGATCAGACCAGTGGGCCATCTAGTCCAGGATCCTGTCTCACACCGTGGCCAACCAGTTCCTCTGGAGGGCCAACGACAGGGCACAGAGGCCAAGGCCTTCATAAGAACCTCAGAAGAGCCCTGCTGGATCAGACCAGTGGTCCATCTAGTCCAGCATCCTGTCTCACACCGTGGCCAACCAGTTCCTCTGGAGGTCTAACAACCGGGCATAGAGGCCAAAGCCTTCCCCAGATGAGAACATCAGAAGAGAAGAAAAAGAGATTGGATTTATACCCCACCCTTCACTCAAAGTCTCAGAGCGGCTTACAAATTCCTTTCCCTCCCCCTCCCCACAACAGACACCCTGTGATGTAGGTGGGGCTGAGAGAGCTCTTTCAAGAATTGCTCTTTCAAGAACAGCTCTGTCAGAACTATGACTTGCCCAAGGTCACCCAGTAGTTGCAAGTGGAGGAGTGGGGAATCAAACCCGGTTCTCCCAGTTTAGAGTCCACGCACTTAACCACTGCACCAAACTGGCTCTCAAGAGCCCGACTGGATCAGACTAATGGTCCATCTAGTCCAGCATCCTGTCTCACACAGTGACTAACCAGTTTCTCTGGATAGCCAACAGGACATAGAGCCTGAGGCCTTCCACTGATGTTGCCTCCTGGCTCTGGGATTCAGAGGATTAGTGCACCTGAATGTCTTGGTTCCCCTCAGTCACCAGGGCTAGTAGCCAGGGGTCATTTCGTAGAAAAAGAGGTGCATGGGCTCATTAGCATAACTCATTAGCATATGCCACACACCCTGACATCACCGGAAGTATGTCAGAAGGCAACACCCACTGCTCAGGCTCCACTGGACTGTTTTGTTTTGCTAGCTATTGGGGGGGGCATGCAGATCTATCCTCACAGAGGAGGGAGAGCTTGTACCTGAATAAAACTGGGTCTTAAAGGTGCCACTGGACTGTTTTGGATTGCTAGCTATTGGGGGGGCATGCAGATCTATCCTCACAGAGGAGGGAGAGCTTGTACCTGAATAAAACTGGGTCTTAAAGGTGCCACTGGACTGTTTTGGACCGGTGGGCCAGTGGGGAGGCTCTTCAACTTACCTGGCTGCTTCTTGCTCTGACTGAGGGCTACTGGGAGCAGGGGGTGGGGCTTGTTGCATGTGCCTGCCCCCTGGGCTCTTTACTGCCGGAGCTCCGCTCCTGTTCGCTCCTGCAGGAAATGACCCCTGACTTATCCTCCATGAATCTATCTAATCCCCTGTTAAAGCAGTATATTCCTGTGGCCATCACTATGTCCTCTGGCAGCAAATTGTTCAACAGTGAATTCAGCTTCGTTGGGAGGTGGTGAGCTCCCCCTCACTGGTAGTCTTTAAGCAGTGGCTGGACAAGCACTTGTCAGGGATTCTCCAGGCTGATCCTGCATTGAGCAGGGGGTTGGACTAGATGGCCTCTGTGGCCCCTTCCAACTTCGTGATTCCATTATTCAAATCCCAGATTTTAATCACTCTCTGTGTAAAGAAGTATCTCCTTTTGTCCGTCCTGAACCTTCTGCCCATCAGCTTAATTTAATGCCTTCGACTTTTAGTAGTTTGGGAGAGGGAGAAAAAGTTGTCTTTGTCAAATCTCTCCGCCCCATGCATAATTTTATAAACCTCTGTCGTGTCCCGGCTCAGTTGTGTCTTTTCTAAACCAGAAAGTCCCAGAGACCCTTCAGCCTCTCCTCCTAGGGAAGGGGCTCCATCCCTCTCGTCATCTTGGTCGCCCTCCTCTGTACGTTTTCCAGCTCTGCAGTATCCTTTTTGAGATACGATGACTAGAACTGCACACAGTATTCCAGATGAGGCCGCACCATAGATCTATACAGGGGCATTACAATACCGGCTGTTTTAGTCTCAAGCAGACACAGAAACTAGGGGGGAATATAGGCAAAGCTATCGTAGAGACCCTCGTTGACTGTTGCTCCAGCAAAGGCTTTGACCTGGAAAGACCTGGAGGAGCCCTTAGGCTGCTAGTGGTGGACAGGGGAGTGAAGTGGGATTGTGCTGGGAGGGGCCATGGCTCAGTGGTAGACCACCTCCTTTGCATGAAGAAGGTCCCAGGTTCAATCTCTGGCATCTGCAGTCATAAAGATCGAGCATTTGAGGGTGTGAAAGGTCTCAGGACCCCGGACAACACCTGTGGGTCAGAGCGGACGTGAGGACAGGCCAAGGTTCTGATTCAGTACCAGGCAACATTGTTGGAGGTGAGGGTTGTTGGCTCAGTGGGCAGAACACCTACTTCGCATGCAGAAGGTCCTGAGGTCAATCCCCAGCATCTCCATTTTGGATGGATCTTTGGTACCAGGTGGTGGGAGTGACTTTTTTTCTTCCTGAGACCCTGGAGAGATGTGTCCAGTCACAGTTAGATGGACAGAGCTAGATGGGCGAGGTCAAGATCCTCTTTGTATGTTCACATGACCTGGGAGGGCAATGTTGGTTCTTCAGCCTCTGCACTTAAGGGCTCACCCCAACAGACACAGGATTCTAATTCAAGATCCTGGGCAGGGTCTTCCAGACATTGGAGACAGACAGTAGCAAGTCAAGCTTGCATGGCCCACCCTCTCACAGGACTGTGGTGCGAGTGTTGTATGCAAAGGTCGAACGTTCGTGTTTTCTCCCCCGAATCATCCAGTCCTGTCTTCCTTTTGGATCTGGTGCGGCGTCTCCTCCATCCAGTCTGCTTCCACATGGGTCTGTTTTTCGACCCACGTGGAGAGCAGGAAGCCCCCACATTTAAAGGGTATGTCCACACAATCCTGTGGTCTTTCTGAGCATGACTCAGGGCTTTGCTCATTAAACCGATTTGGTTCGAGGAGATTCTTCGTAGAGGTTCTTGGGGAGGATCAGTGTGTGTTTGTTTCATTTGACTATTTATACCCCCCCCCCTTTTCTCCCCAGTTCATTTTCCTCCCAGAGTCTCATCTGACACTCTATCCGCTTTACCATGCTACTTTTCATGAATGCCACTAAGGGGGTGAGGGCGGAGCTAACCTCCACTTCCAAAATGGCACGGGCCACCTTGCCGATGTACATCATTCCATCCCCTTTAGCTCTTTAAAGGGCTTTCGTCTCCTTTCCCTGCCACACAGCTGAGAAAGGGGAAAGAGGGGGTCCCAAGCCACGAGGGGGGCTGCCACGTATACCCCTTTTGCACAGACACAGCAGGAAAAACCGGGAGGTGTCTGGTGGTGGAGGAGGAAGCAGGAAACAGGTTGTGTGGAAGCTGTTCTCGCCCACCCCCGTTGCTTCCGCTGTTGTATCGGGGCACATTTTTGCATCCCGCTCCACCCCACCTGGAAGTAGTCCTAGTCTGGTCTGCATTTCATCCCTGGTTTCACCGTCAATGCCTCCTTGTCAATCGAAGGTGGCTCTTTGATAATGGTGAGTTTTGCTCTTCGGTCGCCTCGATGCAAACCATTTCCATCGTTCTGTCTCCTGTGCTGTTTTAATGGAGCTGCAAGGAGGTCGACAAAAGGAGGTTGGGAGGCGGTTTTGGCCAAGCGACTGGCATCTTTCGGCAAGTGACTGTGGCCAAAAAGACAGAGAGAGTTGGGAACTTAGCACGACGCGATCGTTCTGGGTGTCAGGGGATGATCTCACCCTCTGCGGCCTCCTATCCCAGTGACTCAGTTGTACCTTACATAAGACCTTTCTCAGAACACAATGTCACACAAACCACTTACCTTCTCTTGTGTTTTCTTCTTTCCTTTCAAAACCAGGCTCGCAAGTCCAGCTGGTCTCCTTCTGACAGCCATCGTGGCTCTGTCCTACACAATTGCTTTGCGGTATGAAGGGTGAGTTTGTTTTTGTTCTCGGCAAGCAAAAAAAAAACCCCCGATTATCCGTGGTTTCAGAGAATTGTGCCAAGAGGGTTTTTCTACTGAACCTGTTGTGTGTATTTCCCTGCTGCCGATGGAGTACAAAGGTTCCTACCCATCAGAAGGATGTGCCATATATCACAAATGATCAAGGGCTCTTCAGGGACTTAAGTCCTAACTACATATTATGTTTAACATTTCTCCTCTAACTTTTAGCCGAATGTCAGCCGCGAGTTCCCCGTTGGGAACTCAGTTTGCAATTGCGCGGGGTCCCAACTTTGATTGGGACAACAGTGCATATGGAGAATGGGCTTCTGGTCCCCCCCAAAACACCATTTTCCTGACGCAGAACAAACCCAGGCTCTGCTGGAGAAATGTAACACATCAGTACACATAAAGCCACCCATGGGGCACATATCGTCCCCCCAGGGTCAGGGAAGTGGGGGGATACATAAACCCCTTCTCCCTGATCCTTTTAACTGGAAATGCCAGTTGATTGAACCTTGGACCTTAGTTCAAAGTTTATTTCGATACAAGATCAGTAATAATAAGGATAAGGATAAAAAAATAAAAATATAAAATATAAGATTAAGCTCTGGTTGTGAAGGGACGGAGGCAGTGAGGTTATTATTAAGACTCAGTCAGCCGCTTGTGTATCCCAGATGCCCGAAGGCAAAATTTAGCTATTTTATTGTCATCTCCTGGAAGAATCTGCAAGAAGAAGGGAGACGTAAAGTTGTTCACATCTTCCTGGAAGAGTTGATAGGATTGGGGCTGTGTACTGAGATCGAATGTCATTGTAGAATTGGCAGTGCAGCACAGCGTTAAAGCATGCAAGGGTAGCGGTTCACCAGTATTTGGCGAGCTCAAGGGATTTAAGATAATCTGCTGGTTGGAAGCCTTTGGTATGCTGCGGAATAATTGGATGATTCGGTATCTGTGCCCTATCTGATTGTAGGGCTTGATCCCAGAGCCGCTGTCTAATTGTTTCTTTTGCTTTTTGGTACCCAAGACGCAGTAGGAGTTGAGGGGGGAGGCCATGCCCCTGGAGTTTCCCTTCAATTGCTTTTTGCCAGGTTGAACAGTGGCTATCGGCAAAGATCAGGGGTGCTAAACCCACCAGATTGAAGGTGAGTTTTCGCCCAAAATTAGATGTGAGTAGCCACATGTGAGTCTCCAACCCAGTCACCCCAGTCTCTGATCTAAGAAGGGTGTTCGGGATACGTTGTGGGGCTCCAAGGATCAATTGTAGGAACGTGAATGTGAAGCAGAGGCTCTTCCCTTGAGCCAGGGTTCCGAAAAATGCATGAAGCTGCCTTCTACCGAGTTGCTTTCCAGGGTCGCAGGGTGGAGGCGTTTCACATTGCCTTCTACTGGATCCTCAGCCTCACAAGGGAGAGTTGCCACTCTCTAGGGGAGTGTAGGGGTTATATCTGGGGTCCCCAACCTTTCTTGAGCCTACGGGTCCCATGGGAATCCTGACAGATCCGTAGGCGCAATCACAAAATGGCTGCCACAGGAGGTGGGGCCAAACAAAATATGTCAGGCAGTGAGATGATGTCGTGGGCCAGCTTGACCAGCCTGAGTCCCGTGTGGCTGAAGACTCCTCAGGAGTCGAGGAGCCACTTGCAGCCAGCTCTGAACCAGCCAAAGTTAGTGAATCGGAGACACAGGAGCCTCAAGATTCATTTGCCGGCAGCTGACCTTGCCCCACCCAGGCACAGCTCTGAGGTAGCCGAGGAAGCACAGCTGCAGGAAAAGTAGCCCATCAGGCTCCCCCCCCCTCCCGTTAATTGAACAGCGAAGGGAAAAGCTCCGGCAAGACTTAAGGACACACAGACAGAGTGCTCACCTCTTGGCTCGGCACCAGCTGCTTCACGATAGCAGTTCTGAGCAAGTGCAGGAGCACCTCCAAGCAGATGGCGGTAAATCAGGCTTCTTAAGGGATGCCCATATAAATGAGACCTGGAGAACCGCAGATTGTGGAAGCAACTTGTCACATGTTCAACCCTGTGAACTTTGCAACCACAACTCCGGACTCTGCCTGCCTCCCGCGACCGTCGGGCCGACCCTCGACTCTGCTTTTCAGACCTACCTGAACCTTGCAGATCAGCGACCTCCGACTGCCTTGACGCTTGCTTTCCGGAACAACCCACGGACTCCGACTGCCGCTAAACCGGTATTTGATCTCTGGACTGGACTCTTGACTGTGGCCTTGCTCTGTGGCCTTGCTCTGCCTGCATTCCGGGACAGGTGATATGCACCCCTCCACTAGTAACTCTTCAACGTGCCTTCCAAAATGAGCATGATGTTTAAAAATGAAGAAGAAGAGACTGGATTTATACCCCGCCCTTCACTTGGAGTCTCAGAGTGGCTTACAAACTCCTTTCCCTTTCCCTTACCCTCCCCACAACAGACACCCTGTGAGGTGGGTGGGGCTGAGAGAGCTCTGACAGAACCCGCTCTTTTTCAAGGACAGCTCTTATCAGAACTATGGCTTGCCCAAGGTCATCCAGCAGCCGCAAGTGGAGAAGTGGGGAATCAAACCCAGTTCTCCCAGATTAGAGTCTGTGCACTTAAGAAGAAGAAGAGAAGAGATTGGATTTATACCCCGCCCTTCACTACCCACAGGAGTCTCAGAGCAGCTTATAAACTCCTTTCCCTCCCCCTCCCCACAACTGACACCCTGTGAGGTAGGTGGGGCTGAGAGAGCTCTCATAGAAACTGCTCTTTTTCAAGAACAGCTCTGATCAGAACTACAGCTTGCCCAAGGTCATCCAGCAACTGCACGTGGAGGAGTGGGGAATCAAACCCGGTTCTCCCAGATCAGAGTCCGCGCACTTAACCACTGCACCATACGATCAGCTTACCTTCAGTCACACAGCGAAAATCCTTGTCCTGTGGGGGGCCAGCTGCCTTTAAAACAATTTTTAAAAAATCTGCACAGCCAATCAGAAGTCCTGCTGGCTAAAAGCCCCACCTGGCCCTGCCCACTTTTTAGAAACACTTGGTGGGCACCACTGTTCCCTCTAAGCAGAGTTAGTGTGAGCTAGCTCACAGTTTTGTAGCCTCTGGCTCACACGTTTTTGTCTCAGCTCCGGAAGGATGGCTCCAGAGCAGACTAATTTATGCAGTAGCCAAATCGTTCGCTCACAATGTTAATGCCAGTAGCTCACAAAGTAGAACTTCTGCTCACAAGACTCCACAGCTTAGAGGGAGCATTGGTCAGGCCAATGGCCCACCCAATACTCTGTGTCACACAGTGGCCACAACTCAGGGGCCATCAGGAGGTCCACCAGCGGGGCCAGAACTCCAGAAGCTCCTCCCACTGTTGCTCCCCAAGCCCTAAGAAGACAGAGCATCCCTGCCCCAGACATAAGAACGTAAGAGAAGCCAATCGCCCTTCCAGTCCAACACTTTGTGTCACATGGTGGCCCAAACCCAGAGGCCACCAGGAGGTCCACTAATGGAAACTGCACTCCAGAAGCCCTCCCAATGTTGCTCCCCAAGCACCAAGAAGACAGAGCATCCCTGCCCCAGACATAAGAAGATATAAGAACATAAAAGAAGCCTTGTTGGGTCAGGCCCAGTGTTCCCTCTAAGCTGAGTTAATATGAGCTAGCTCACAGTTTTTTAGCCTCCGGCTCACACATTTTTGCCTTAGCTCCAGAAGGACGGCTCCAGAGCAAACTAATTTAGGCGGCAGCCAAATCGCTCGCTCACAACTTTAATGCCAGTCGCTCACAAAGTAAGAACTTCTGCTCACAAGACTCTACAGCTTAGAGGGAGCACTGGTGGGCACTAGGAAAGGAATTCATGAGCATCAAGTTGCCCACAGTGCACTATATCGGGAACGCCTGGCTTACATGAATAATGGAGCTGTTCCTTCTGCCGTAATTATCTGACGACCCCGTGATGCCACTATAGAGGAAGACTCTCGCTCGTCCGAGGTCATTCTAGAATAAGGGCTATTTTGAGTCCCGATGGGCAATATTTGACACACACCCCCACCCCAATCCCACTCCCACAAGAAACAGTTTGTACTCTGCAGTTCCATTCACGAGTTTTTCTCCGAAACCCACACATCTGCTGAGGGGGGAGAAAACCAGATCCCCTGGTTGCGTTAATTATACGTTAGCAGTGGCAGATATTTTCCATCCATCCATTCATTCAAATGCGATCCACAAAAGCAAGCGACGGGTGGAGGGGCTGAACGCTGCTGCTTCTCCGACACCCAGAGGGACCCTGATTGAATGAAGCTGGTTTGCAGCTTGAATTCAGCAGTAGATTTTTAAATATATATATGTCTGTCGTTGTGACGTGCAGGGCAGAGAAGGACCCAGAAGACGCCAGGACTCTGACACGGAGAGAGAAATGTGTGACCTGGTTTTTCCTTCCCAGAGTACCCGTGATTTGATCAGCCGGGCTGCGGTCTGCTAGAGCAGGAATTCTGACTATTAGCCATCTTGGCACTGATAAATTGTATTAAGAACTGTTGCTTCTTTTGTTGGTTTTAAAATTTTAACTTATATATTTATTGTGTGTCTGCGTTGTAAGCTGCCCTGAGCCCTGCTCGCAGGGGAGGGTGACCTAGAGATTTAATTAATAAATAATAAATGAATGAATATGTATAGGGTTGCCAGCCTCCAGTTGGGGCCTGGGGATCTCCCGCTTTTGCAACTGATCTCCAGCTGACAGAGATCAGCTCCCCTGGAGAAAATGGCTGCTTCGAAGGGTGGACTCTATGCTATTGTACCATGCCGAGGCCCCTCCCCACCCCAAACCCCACCCTCTCCTGGCTCCACCCCCAAAGTCTCCAGGTATTTTCCAATCCAGACCTGGCAACCCTAAATATGTATCATCCTCAACTCACTGGGAGCCGCTGAATTACGGATCCTGATTCGGATCATCCAGACCTGCTCCAGCTATTGGTCACGCTGGATTTGGATACTCAATCGTGACATTTGGAACCCAGAAATGCTTCTGAAATCTGCCCCCCCTCAGATTTTGGGGGTCAGAATTCATTACGTGATTTTATTACAGTCATAGATAAGCAGTAACATTCAGTAGCACATACAAGGAAATATAAACACACAGTTAAAAATCATAAGCTTGTGTTAAACTAAATTCCGTGTTATGTACTTAATTAATAAAAAGTTTTAACCAGGTTGTTTCATCATTGAAAAAAATTGTACAAAACTTGGCCAGCTTAAGGGCAGTTTCCTTACGGCAGGGGTCCCCGACCTTTTTGAGCCTGCAGGTACCTTTGGAATTCTGACACAGTGTGGTGGGCGCAGCCAGAAAATGGCTGCCAGAAAAAGGCTGCCTCAGGAGGTGAGGCTAGCCACAAAATGGCTCCCACAGCTTACCATCAATCACACTGTGAAGATCCTTGTGCTGTGGTGGCAGCTGCTGACAAAGCAGTGGGGTTTTTTTAAAAATTTGCATGGGCAGTCAAATCTCCAGTGGCCAATCAGAAATCTTGCTAGGCAAAAGTGCCACCTGACCCCACCCACTTTCTAAAAACTGTCAGTGGGCACAAGGCAAGGTGTTACTGGGGCCATGGTTCTCACAGAACCAGAAGAAGAAGAGGAGATTGAATTTATACCACGCACTTCACTTGGAGTCTCAGAGCGGCTTACAAACTCCTTTCCCTTCCCCTCCCCATAGCAGACACCCTGTGTGGGAGGTGGGGCTGAGAGAGCTCTGACAGAAACTGCTCTTTTTCAAGAACAGCTCTAACAGAACTATGGCTTGCCCAAGGTCATCCAGCAGGTACAAGTGGAGGAGTGGGGCATCAAAACCCAGCTCTCCCAGATTAGAGTCCGCCCTCTTAACCACTACACCAAACTGGCTCTCTCCAAACCACATTGGGGGACCCTCCCTTAGAGTGATCCAAAAGGAGAAGGGGCAAAATAAAACTTTTCAGGTCTACCTGGAAAATGGGATTGAACTGGGGTGATGTATAAGAAATGAGTTTCAAATTGTCTCATCTTCTTTCCAAATCAGAGTCGGCGCGCCTGAAATAACCTACAGGTCTGATTCTTATTTCCACCTTTTTGTTTGGAGTGCCGTGCACACGCAGTGTAACTGACGTGCATCAAGAGGATCGAAAGTCCTTTCCGCTCGTCCTGTCCCCTTGAGGATACCGCAAGCTTTTCACTAAAAAAACCCCCTGGCTGTTTCTCCCCACATTCTCTTTCGGCGTTCAGGCGGCAGAAAAAGTAATCTCACCATCTCTTTCTTTTGTTTCCTTTCCTTCTCTTCCCAAAACCTTCTACCTTCCCTGATCCACCCACCCACCCCGCCTTCCCAAATTCCAGGCCGTTCACCGAAGAAATCTATCGCCAGAAAGCAGTCAAGAGTCAATAGCTGCGACTATGGTGGTGCCAGAGGCCCGGGAAAAGAAAGCACAAGGTGGTTTGGAAGCGAGAAGCAGTGCCATTTTAGCAGGACAATTCGACGGGATACGAAAGTTCGGACTGACTTCTAATTACCCTTGGCTAAAACTTCTTAAAAAGTGCATTTGAGATGGAAGCCCAGGGCCCAGGGGACGGGGGACTTTGACACTTAGCGAAACCACCCACCAGTCCCAGGCAGGTGGCCTTTCTCACAAGTAGCCCGTCTCCACCTCTGGCTTTCAGCAGGTTCCATTAAGAGCAGAAGTTTGAAAGGGCTAATTATAGGCTCCGGAAAGCGTTTTTAAAAAAAAGGCAAAGTGGGTAGGAGGCCCGAACATTTTTATGTAACTGCAGGCACACTTGCAGAGGGGAAAGAACAAACACGGCAGCGAATGCACACGCCTCGGAGGGGAGCGATGCGGCGCAAGGACGCATGCACTCAGCAGCGCATTGGCAGGGTTGCAACTGCTATCATTTAGGAGACATGAGTAAAATTCGGGGAAAGTACGTGCCGTGTAAAATTCGTCTTGGTCCCTCACTCTTTCAGGACATCCTCTCTTCCGGCCATAAACAATTCGACCTTTTTTTTTGTCCTACCAACTGAAAGGCTGACGCGGTCCAGCTCTGCCGTTGCAGGGTGCTCGAGCGCATGCTTCCAGCATCCAGCCGATAGCAGCAGTCGGGAGGTACAGTTTCGGCTGAGCTGCCGGGGAACATGAATGTGTGAGTCCTCCGAAACAAACCTTCGTTGTACACAAAAGGCTAGAAGGAGTGCTTTGTCCTCACACACTAGTTTTTCTACGTTTCTTCTTAAAATTCAAACAAGCATCTCCTCTCGTCCCCCCTCCCATGGAAGTCTGAATAGTCCAACCCATCAAAAATTGCCTCTTTAGTCAGTCAGTGTTTATTACGGTCAAAAACCAGCCTATTGCCTCTTTAGTATCAAGCACCGTCCACCCCCCAAAAATACCATCCATCGCCAACCTTCTTCCCCTGTGGCTTCACTGCTGTGACCAACTCTTTGACCTATGACCCTTTTCCACCTGCCCCGCTCCTCTTGAATGCCATTGGCCATTCTGATAAAGTGTCACCGCAGCCCCCAACTGTCATTGGTTTGCCTGCTGTGACATCACAGAGAGCTTATGGCGGCCTGGGCCCAGGAGGCGGAATGGAGAATGCAGACTGCAGGGTAGGTAATGAAAGGTTATATGAAAAACGTATTGGCCTAAAGCCAACGTATTGGCTTCTAAAGCTGCACCGCAAAGGCAAATGTACACACCCTGGATTAACAGCCGGCGCATCCAGACCGAGACGTTCCTCGAGAACCAAAGACTGCTGCGGCGTGACCTTTGCCAAAACCGGAACTGTGCAATGTGGCTGTTGCAAATCTTTTTCTCTGCCTCCTCCATTCCCACGTGACACATATTTGCCCAGAATACAATGTCGGTAATGTTTTGTATGGTGTTCTTCCTCTGGTTTGGCAACCTGCCAAATATCACTGTCCCCCCCACCCCCCACCCAAAGCAATGATGTTTCTAGAGCACTTTTGGAGATGGAAAAACCATCCGTGGCATTCTCGGTAATCGGACACTTTTTTTTTTTTTGGCTTCGAAGTGGACCGGACTTATAAACGCCTTTGTCTGTCTTATCTCCATGATGTTGTAAGAGCTCGTCGCTTTTCAGAACCTGTCCTCTGCGGATATCTAAGCCTCAATCAAGTATTGCTTTCCCATTGTCTCGTTCTGTATCAACTTCTGGGAGCAAGCGACGTTCTTTCCACCGCTACCCTAATCCCCTGTCCTTTGTACGTTTTAATTCTCCGCACTCATGCCGGTATTCTGGAAATATCCCCCAATGTATGCTCAAGGTAAATGTCAAAATCTGAGCTGGATTAACCATTATGTTAAGCGCACTAGGAGTCCCAGTCTGATTTGAGATCTCTTCTTACGCACAGTGGTCTGGTTTATTTACATTACGTCCATGCCATTTTGCACCTTAAGATACTGAGCACCAAATGCATTTGTTTAAAAAAATAAAACATGGAAACTACGCCCTCACCCCAAAGTCCAGTTTTATGTGTTTGTTTGTTTGTTTGTTTAAATTTATAACCCGCTCTCCCTGCCAACGGGCTCAGGGCGGCATACAGATGGGGCCAATGCCCAATACATAAAACATTAAAACTGCATTTTAAGAACATTCAATACAACATAAGTGCTCTCCACAATATCTAACAAGGGAACAGATGACGTCATCAGGATGGTATCCTTAGTGGCCACAGGTCCACGCAGTACCACCATTTTAGCGCTCACAGCGAGTTGGTAATAAAGGGCTAGGACAGATAGTACTAGTCGTAGACAGATGGTAACAGTCGTGGTGGCTCCTACTCAAACGCCTGGTGGAAGAGCTCCATCTTGCAGGCCCTGCGGAACTGTGCAAGGTCCCGCAGGGCCCGAATCTCCTCTGGGATCTCTGTGTTCTTGTTTCTCCCTTCTGACATTTTACTATTTTGCATTTCAGCCTTCTTAGAAACGTTGTACAGTTTAATGCTTACAGGAAGACACTAAGGTGGTACCGGTATGCATAAAAATCCCCTAAAATATATTTGAGCTTGTTCAACCACTGCACATCACAGTCCACGTGTCAAGTTTACAGTAATCTGTAGAATTTCTCTCTCATAAGAACATAAGAGAAGCCAATGCTGGATCAGGCCAATGGCCCTTCTAGTCCAACACTCTGTCACAGAGTGGCCAAAAATACCAGGTGCCATCAGGAGGTCCACCAGTGGAGCCAGGAATCTAGGAGCCCTCCCACTGTTGCCCCCCCCCCAAGCACCAAGAATACAGAGCATCCCTTGCCCCAGACCGAGAGTTCCTATCTATACCTTGTGGCTCATAGCCACTGATGGACCTCTGCTCCAGATGTTTATCCAATCCCCTCTTGAAGCTGTCCATGCTTGTAGGCACCGCCACCTTCTGTGGCAGTGAATTCCATGAGTTAATCTCTCTTTGGGTGAAGAAGGACTTCTTTTTATCTGTTCTAACCTGACTGCTCCGCAATTTCATGGAGTGCCCACGAGTCCTTGTATTGTGAGAAAGGGAGAAGAGTACTTCTTTCTCAACCTGCTCTATCCCATTCATAATCTTATAAACCTCGATCATGTTACCCCTCAGCCGTCGTTTCTCCAAGCTAAAGAGCCCCAAGCGCTTTAACCTTTCTTCATAGGGAAAGTGTTCCAATCCTTTTATCGTTCTAGTTGCCCTTTTCTGCACTTTTTCTCAATTGCTTTCAAGATTTTTGCACGTTCTCGGAGATTCACAGCCAACCGAGTCTGATTCTAAAGGGATCGGGGCAGAGTAACGTTCTAATGTGAAGCCTTGAGATTCGGGAGTCCTGAAAAGTCAGCGTGTCATAGTGGTTAATGTGGTCAAACAAGAACTGGGGAGACCTGGGCCCAACTTGGCCGTGAAGCCTGTATTCTCCGTCAGCCTAAGTTACCTTCTAGGATTGTTGTGAGACTAGAATGGGAACCCTGCACAATATTTATTTAGATATTTATACCCCCGCTTTCCCTCCCCGATGAAGAAGAAAAGTTGGATTTATACCCCACCCTTCACTCGGAGTCTCAGAGCAGGTGGGGTGAGGAGGAGAGGGGAAGGGGAAGAAGATTGTAAGCCGCTCTGAATTGTGAAGGACGGGGTATAAATCCAATCTCTTCTCCTTCTTCTTCTTCTCCAGGAAGTCTGCCCTGGAAATGCTCCTGTGAGTTTTACCCCTTGGGTCGGATCCATCTCCCGATTGGGTACCTTTAGTGGCGTTCCACATTCGCCTCCTGAGATGTGCGCCTCATATTGCCTCATAACCCGGCCTACTCGGCTCGAAGCTAATGTTGACAACGGCTTCTATCAGTGTTCTTCATATAATCCATAATATTCAGTTAACTCCCAGAAGAAGCTTGCGGTAATAACGGTAGAAGCTGGCCTGGATCCAGGTTTATCCTGTTCTGGGCAATCCACGGCTCAAATTCTGCTAATATCTTTTTATGCAACAGACACCCCTCCAGTATTTTGAAGGAGGGATGAAGCCGTCACGAATCTCTTGGGAGTTCCTAAGAATCGTATTGTAGAATTCAAGAAACAGAGTTGGAGAGATTAGATAGGGACTTTTTTTTTTGTCCCCGCTTATATAATTGGGGACGGCCCCATGACATTGATTTCACAGCAGGCAGGTACAACTGTCTCTTTGAGCCACGCACTGTTGTTCTGTGGAACTCCCTGCCACAGGACGCAGTAATAGCGGCTACGGGCGATGGCTCTTATCGAGTCATTCTTTAGGTCACACTTCTTTGCCAAGACTCGAGGCAGCTTATCTAATTAAATCAGGGGCACACTACCTCTGGCAACAACACACCGAGCAGTGTGATACATGCCATCGAACATGCAGTTGCAAAATCGGATAATAGCCCACCAAAAACCGCAACTGTGTCTTAAGTGCCATCAAGCCACAACCAACTTACAGCGACCCCAGCAACAGGCTTTCAAGGCAAGTGAGATGCAGGGGTAGTTTGCCGCTGCCTTCCTCTGCAGAGTCTTCCTTGGTGGACTCGCATTCAAGCACTGACCCTGCGTGGCTTCTGAGATCTGATGGTGAAGAGGGGTGGAATCTAACTTGGAGAAATGGGTTTGATTCCCCACTCCTCCTCCACGTGCAGCTGCTGGCGTGACCTTGGGTCAGTCACAAGTTCTCTCAGAACTGTTCTCTCATGAGCAGTCCTTGAAAGAGCTCTCTCAGCCCCACCTACCTCACAGGGTGTCTGTAGAAGGGAAGGGAGATTGTAAGCTGCTCTGAGACTCCTTTGGGTAGTGAAGGGCGGGGTATAAACCCAACTTCTCCTTCCCCCCCCCCCCAAAACATCATATGGCCTAAAATAAGACAGCGTAGTGCAGACAAATAACAAAACGAAGCTGGATTAGACAAATTCAGGAAGTAGGAGAACTTAACTGATATCTACCAGCCATGGTAGCAAAATGGAACTTCCAAATTCAAAGTCAATGTACCTCTGAATACCAGGTGCCGGGGGCAGACGGGGAGGAACTGTTCTGTTGATGCCTTGTTTATGTCAACACAAAACTGTGCAATAGAATAGCAGACACACCTTAAACATATAAATTTGTATCAAATATCAGGACACACTGAAAACACCTCCAATAAAATGTGTTCAGCCTCCAGAGGAGCACCACCTCAATCACTAACAACTCATAAGTTTCCCAAGCTGTGCTACATTCTTCATTCTGTCTGGACTTTACTCTGATATTTTTGATCCACTTGAAATTACGGGTTATTAGGGATTGAAGTGGTACTTCTTTGGAGGCTGAACACACTTTGTTGGAGACTTTTCAGTGTGTCGTGATATTTGATATAAATTTATATGTTTAAGGTGTGTCTGCTATTCTATTGCACAGTTTTGTGCTGACAATTTCATACCGTGTATTTCCCTCTTGTTTTTGATGCCTTGTTTATGGCCGCCACCAGGGGTCATTTCATAGAAAAAGAGGTGCAGGAGCTCATTAGCATACATTATTTGCATATGCCACACCCCCTGCCATCACCGGAAGCGTGTCAGAAGGCAACACTCACCCAATAGGCTCCACTGGACAGTTTTGGATTGATAGCTATTGGGGGGGGGGGACCGGGCAGATCTGTCCTTGCAGAGGAGGGAGAGCTTGTGCCTGAATAAAACTTGGTCTTAAAAGTGCCACTGGATTGTTTTGGATTGCTAGCTATGTGGGGGGGAATGCGCAGATCTGCCCTTACAGAGGAGGGAGAGCTTGTACCGGAAGGCGGGGCGGGGGGCTCTGCAACTTACCTGGCTGCTTCTTGATCCTCGTGGCCCGACTGAGGGCTGCTGGGAGCAGGGGGCGGGGCTTCTTGCATGTGCCCACCCCCTGGGGTCCTTACTGCTAGAGCTCTGCTCCTGTGCGCTCCTGCAGGAAATGACCCCTGGCCGCCACTGAAAATAAGATAGTTCGACCCAACACGTTTTTTTCTTAAAAGCCAGTTTTGGACTTGAACCCTGGAGAAAATTGCTCGTGCAAAGAAGTCAGCTCTTTCAACCTAAACACATCACGGTTTGGTACTCAGTGCCGGGGCTAGTTCCCGAGCCGAGCCATGACCAGAGCCTGCTCGGGGTGGCACGGTGAGGCGGGCGCTGATGTGCCACAGAGACTTGCTCTGCTCCCAGCCCTGAGTGGCATGGGTGTTGGGACTGGGGCGCCTTCCTGGGCCCTGTGCTGCCACCAGTTGAGTCAAGCACTGCAAGTCCAGAAGGCAGTTGGTTGCTTAAAGCAGTAAAACGGTTTGGATCCCTTAGAGAAACTCCATGGACAGCTTTCCACCTGGGGAATGTGACTTTTATCACCTTCTTGCAGCAGCTCCTAATTCTCCCTGAAATGCTGCTCTTGGGGGAGTGGGGACTACCAGTGTAAGCAGAGTTAGTGTGAGCTAGCTCACAGTTTTTTAGCCTCTGGCTCACACATTTTGGTCTTGGCTCAGGGAGGATGGCTCCAGAGCAAACAGATTTATGCCGAAGCCCACAACTTTAATGCCAGTAGCTCACAAAGTAGAATTTTTCCTCACAAGACTCCACAGCTTAGAGGGAGCATTGGTGGGGTCTCCCTAAGAGGGCCACGGGAATAAACAGCTTTAAAAGTGGACTAGATAGATTCGTGGAAGATTATCAATGGCTACCAGCCATGGTGACTGAGGGGAACCTCTGAATTCAGAGGCACTAAACCTCTGAGTCCCAGAGCCAGGAGGCAACATCAGGGGAAGGCCTTGGTCTCTACACCCTGTTGTTGGCCATCCAGAGACACCAGTTGGCCACTGTGTGAGACGGGATGCTGGATTAGATGGACCCTCACTGGTCTGATCCAGCAGGGCTGTTTTTATGTTCTTCTGAAGGCCTTGGCCTCTATGCCTTGTTGTTGGCCCTCCAGAGGAACTGTTTGGCCACTGTGTGAGATGGGATATGGGACTAGATGGACCACTGCTCTGATCCA